CACCGGCAGACGTGGGGGCAGCAACACAGCAAGGCAGGGTTAGAAACCAACCCGCCCGGCTGCAGCAAGGCTGAACAGAGCCCCCAGCCTGGCACGCCGGGCCGGTGGCACGCCACCCTGCCAGGGCCGCTACCTCCTCCAGCATCGCTTTCAGAGCTCAGCAGCATGGGGCTGGCTGGCTCCCCCAGCCAGGCTGGGAACTGGTGACAACTGGGTGCCCGCCCACCACCCATCCCAGGCAGCGCCACAGGATCTGCCCCGCGAGCCAGCGCCAAAGGCCACCAAAGTCCCTGTGACCACTGGCACCTCCAGGCAGCTGTGGTGGGCTTCTGGAGGAGCACCATTCCAAAAACCTGCCTCCCTCTGCTACCCCAGTACTTGGGGAACAGAGACGAGGCTGGCGAGACACCTACCCTTCGCCGTGCTGCTGATCTGAGTGACGAGGCTCTGGGCATCACCCACCTGGCAAGACAAAGACCCCAAGATTGGTGGTGGCTCCGTGAGAACAGCAACGCCTGTCGCTGCTCCCAGGGCCGTCGCGGAGGCTCGGGGGAACGGCCCTTCTTCCAGCAGTACCATCCCACCGAGCCAACGACCCCCTCGGGATGCTCCCAGCCTCCCAGCAAACTGCTTCCATAAAAGCTGTCACCTGGGGCCAAGCTGTGCAAGGCACCCTCTGCCAGACACCTCCCGAGCCTCGGTGACGTTATTCACTGGGTTCGTTACAAGGGAGGAGGAACCAGTTCCCCCCCCGCTGCCAGGGGGGCTCTCTGGAGAGCAGGACAGGGACCGATGGAGAGCACAGCAGTTAAAGATAAGCAATGTATAAATGTATACATTCAGTACACTGACTCTGGTCTTCCAGGTGTTTGAAACCGCCCCGGCAGGTGACGCCTCGTTGGGTGGCATGTCACTGAACACCTGGCAAGTCATTTTTGGTCATTACCCGTTCATCCCAGACATTAATGAACCTCAGCATACGTCCCTCACCCACCAGCGAGCC